CGACAGCTGGAATCTCGTCACCTCTGCTTGCCTTATGGAAGTCTAACTTAGAAATGATGTCCGAGACCAGTGACGGGGGTTATGCACATATTACTCAGTAGAGTCTCTGTTCTAGGGAGAAATCAGGTGTGGGTACTCCACATGAGTCGAGTATTGAGTTGAAAGAGAATTTCTGAGCAAAGCAGTCAATCTTATCTGCTGTAGATGTCAGGACTTTGAATTGATTGGATACAGGAAGGTATGAGGATTTACTGCTGTTTAGTACACTCTTGCAGAGCCGTCAATAATCTCTAGAATCTAACTTGCGAGTTGTTATACGTTGTTTCATTCTATCAGCAAATTTCGCTACTTTGAGGACTGTCTTGCACTCGTTACGAGCAGAGTCAAAGTGACGTCTGTTCCAATCAGACGTCACTGATACAGCCAGAAGTGATTCCTATAGGCTATAACAACCGAGCTAGCAAGTAAGAAACAAGATGAACGCGGTTTAACGCGGTATTTCTTGATTTATTCAAAGCTAACATTTTAAAAGTAGTAAAAATAAAATTTTTATAGCCAGGAGAAAAAAAGAAACTATTATTGTATATTTTGTGGTTTGGTTAAAAAAGAGATTGAGGAGGATGAAGATCAAGCGACAACAGGATGCACCGTGAAAAATGACGAGAGATACTCAGTGAGAAAGCAAAAACAATTTTATTAAAATAAAACAAAAGAAAAGAAAATTTTACTAAGTATTAGGGATGAACAAATTTGGTGGTTTGTATGCCCGGAAAAGAGAGTAATAAATTCCTGGACAAGTAACTTATTTTTTTCTAAAATAAGGCTCAATGATAGTTGTTGGAAAAAGATCAAGTTTACAATCAAAATCAGTCAAATAATATTAAATATCACAAGAAAAATGCCAGCATATATAAAACAATATAAATTACAAGGAAGAAGGTACCTTAAAGGGGTTTCATTGAGGTCAAAATCAATTAAAAGGAGATATTTACTTTGAAGATATATGTGAATGTTCTTAATATCTCTTGTAATTTGATGTAAGTTGCCGAAGTTCGTGATAGAATCCGTTCGTGTCTTCAACGTAGAACATTGTTTTGAGAACAGTACTTGTTCTCTGTCGTGGAAACGACTATTTTGTTACAATAGACGAGTGAAATTAGAGTTAAGTTAATTCTGTCGTGTAAACGACAATTTGGCTGTCAAGACTTCGTTAAGGAGTAGTTTTTTTTTGTTTTTTTTTTAGTCTACGCTCGGTCAAGCTTTCAGATGTTTTGTGAGGCGCCGTGTCACCCACTCTTCGCTGTTGCGTCTCCCTACTCCCCCGGCGTCGCGTCCTACTGCTCCTGTTGACGGGCGTATTGCAGGAACTTTTATAGCCAAAGGTCGGCTCCGATTTACCCGAAAAATTTTGGTGGCATTTCAGATTTCAACCCGCTTAAGTAGTCATTGGTTAAAAAAAATCAAGTTTATCAAAAGAATATATTGTAGTAGAAACACTTCTGGTTTTCTTTCCCTTTTCTTAATTTTCAATTGACCCCCCCTCCCCATACACGCACACACTTCTTGGTCAAGGAGCTTTGTACGCAGACAGGAAAGGTTCAGGTTTCAGTAAATTGTTTTATTAGCTTCATCCCTCCACCTAAACTACCGACAACGAAAATTTACTCAAAGTAATACAAAATAATTTTTAACATAATTTTTTAGTGCAATTTTGAAATTAATACTGTTGCTATTCATCACAAGAGTTATTAAATAAAGATATGTTTGAAGATTTAAAAATGCAAAGTTTAATGTCATTTTCGACTGTGAACCTTTTTTTTTAATGGATTTTACCTTTTCCTTTTGAGCATGGATGTAGAAAAAGGAAATAACTCAGATATCTTGCGTTGACTCACTATTATTCAATATCGGAGCAGTCCAACACTTCGCAAAAAAATTTTTTTAAAATAGCATGAAGAAAAAAGTCCCTAATTGATAAAACAATTTTTTAACGTCTAAATATTTATTTTACTATTAAGATGATGAAATTTTCTGAATATTTTTCAGATTTTTTAATCCTTCCTATAATGTTAAAAATTTTATTTAAAAATCTTGTTTTTCTTGATTCAAAAAAATTTCGTAAATTCGATCGTATCGGCCCTTTTTGTCTGACTTTGTAAACAAAATCAAAGTTAGCAGTTTAAAAAATCCTGTAAAATTCAGTTACACCTTTTTCTTTTGCTGTGTTAGGAAAATTAGAAAATTTAAAGCATACTTAATGTAATTTGAAAGAAACATTACTTACTTTTTTTTATCAGAGAGATTTTTAAGAGAGACATTTCCTACCACGGTGCTTGTTTTTGCGCGTGTTTGAGAGGTGTTAGTTAACTGATGTACGTCAATATATCGACAACTTACGTCAGGGCAATTTATCGAACGGTAGGGCAGAAGTGATATATTTCATTCTAGTTTTAAGTGGACCTGGTTAAATACACTTCCAGTTTTTTTTACCTTACGTTTGAGGGAGAGGGAAATTAATCATTTTTATTTTTGGAAAATCAGAAAGCCTAAAAAGATAATCAAACTATATATCAGGCATTAACATTGAATTTGAAGGAAACAACTTTCCTAGGGGGTCAAAATGCAACAAAGTCCATTGGTAATTTTCAAATGGCCGCGAGGGGTTAAATAAATTGACATCGGAAATCGTTAGTCAAAAAACACACTCCTGGTTTCCGGTGGTTAGGAATTGCAGATAAATCTTTCGCCTTTTATCTGCAATTCCTAACCACCGGAAACCAGGAGTGTGTGTTTTTTTAATTTTTTTTCTTCAAAAAATAGCAGCGATAAGGAAAAATTAAGCTAAATTGACTGATATATTTGGGTCAAAGGCCAGCCAGCTAGCAATGAACGTTTGTCACCATTCCCACATAAGAACAAAGAGTAAAAAAAAAAAAGGGTCAACATTGGGGTCAACAGTAAGTTGTTGTTTTTTTTTTTCAAACCTATGTTTGAAAAATGGCTTGATGTGTTTTGTTTTTTTAACACCTGTTTTTGTTTTTCGCCGTATGTCTTTCATATGACAAAAAAAAACAAAAAAAAAAAACAAGCGTTTTAAACAGCTGTGTCAGTTATGATGAAATTGAAATATTTTTCTGAGAATCAAACTCATTGCGCTGTTCCGTGACTAAAATTGAACATAAAATAATAAAAAAAAAGGAAATAATATTTGCAGTTTGTCTCACACTGAAAAAGGAAAAATTGTTTATATTTAAAAATTGAAAAGAAAAAGAAAAATTTTGAAAATGCGACAATATTCAGTCAGAAAACTTGACAAGTGTTGTTGTGTTGTTAACTGTACGAATGCAAAGCAATTTCTGAAGTAAAAACTTCTGGCTTCTAACAAGGGAAACAACTCTACCTGACGTGACATTATTTCAAAGCTGTACATCCATACTTTTGTCGGAGACGATTTTTAATACAATTTTGGAATTAAAATCTTTCAGATTTATGATCTTTAAAAAGTAAGATCATTTCCATTGAGTCACAAAAAAAAAAACAAAAAAAAAACTTAATTTGAAAATATATAACAAGATTTTATCATATTATGTATTTGAAATTGAAGAAAGAAAAAATTATTGTAAAAATTCATTTGTCATCAAAAATTTTTTTTTCTTTCAGATAAAAATTACCTTATGTTATTCAGAAAAGCCATTTTTAAAAAGCTTTTTAATTTCATATCCTCCGCTCAGTAAATATAAAAAATAAAACTATTCATTAAATAAAAGTGTATAGAATAAAAATTATATTCTTAAACTATTGGTTAAGGTTAAAGAAAATTTACCTTTAAACATAAATAACAAATTCTTGATTATTGCATTACTGATCTTCCGTATTTCTTTATTTATTTTTAACTTTTTTCCACGCGCTTTTTCGAACAGGAGTAGAAAGGCACTTTTCCTACCTTATTCTTTTGCCTTACAAGCTAGTGTACCTAAAATAAGACCTTTAAAAAGTAAGCATAACTATTATTAGAAAATCCAATTTAATTCTTTAATTTACTACCAGACTTCAAAACACATCTCTTAGACAAATATTGGATTTTAAAGAGAATTTTAAATTTGTTGTTTACATTTTTTTCGTAATCGATGGCGGCGCGATGAATGATAAAAAAAGTACTAAATGCTTTCTTTAGAAATAACCCAAATCAAGAGTTTATTTATATACAGAAATTATTTTTTATTTTTAATTCAGATTAGCTTTTTCGACTATTATCTTTCAGAACAGAAGTTCACAGAATGCATTGTTTGTTTGTTTTTTTTTTTAGAAAATCCGTGGTGGTACCTAGAATTGTTGCCGTCGTCTTATTCCTCTCCCCATTGTTCTTTTTTTTCCTGATAACATTAAAAAGTTCTGTTCTGTTTCGTGTCGTTAAGTACACCTAAATTTTACTGCTCCATTCGCAAAGAAAAGACTCGAAACACTGCCATGAGACAGCTGGACACAAACCACCGGCTGTTTTCTCCCGAAAATATTGTCTGCTAGTGTCTTCTTAACTTGCCAAAAATAATAGATTTAACAACCATTAATCATGACAACATAGGAAGTCTATGGACCTTTTTTTTTTTTTAATTTCCTTTACTTCTTTAGTTATACGTGATAACAAGAATTATCGTTCAATCATCTTGGACAAAAAAACTTTTTAGTTTTTTTTTTTTACTTTTCCTTAAAAACAATTTTTTAATTTACATAAATTTCTGGAGAAAATTTAAAAAAATAAAACGTATTGAGAGATGAAAGCAAGAGAGTTTTTTTAGATTTAAAATAAAGATAGAAAAATTGTAATTACATTTTTATTTTGTTATTAGATAGTTGTTTATTTGAGTTTGTTTTTGTACGTAAATTTGTATTAATTTATCTGCTAGCTTTGCAGAAAGCGAATTAAGAAGTTGGAGCAAGGCATGTTCCAATTGTTTTTTTTTTAATATATGATTAGATTTTGTAAGGAAGGAGACAGGTTGATGGTAAATTCTTTTGGATATATGAACTATCAAAAGGTAAATAAGAATTAAATTCAAGTATTCAGATGATTGTGATTGACAAATAGAAGTTCTTAACTGTGTTGAGTTTTTTTACAAAAATAAAAGTAAAACTACTGTAAATAATTGCAAATTTTATTTGAGGCCTTCATAAAATGACTTTTCTTTAGATGACCCTTTCTTTTGTGTAAATTTTTAACATGGGACCTTTTTGTGATTATTTAAGTTACTTAAATTAAAACTACAAGACTGTCTCACATGGATATATACTTTAACTTTTTTTTTCATTTTTCCTAATTGAAAAAAAAAATGAAACTATTCCACAGAAACATCTGTACAGGATATTTAACAAAAAATAAATCAGGATAGACGACGTGTCACTCTTCTTACCATACCTGACCATGGGCTCGTATCAGTTTTGTGATTTTTTTTTTTTTTTTTTTCACCGGTTTTTCCAACTTTAAGAAAACAACATAGAAGTCAAGTCAGATTAGTAGTGAAATGAAACTTCAAGAAGCATTTTCAGTTTACTGTAAATAAAAGTTCTAAATACAAAAAGTATGTGAAGAAGTTTATTAAGACATGTTTTAAGTAAAAAATAAATCAAACAAAATTTTAAATTTTAATTTTAGGTTAAAAAAGTCTATGTTTTCCCATAGTTAACTAACACCTTTTTTTTGTATCTTCAGGGTCAAGGATTATGCGCGAATTTAAGTACCGCAGGACATCTTAAAAAAAAAACAAAATAGTAAATCAAAGGATTTAATCAAATTTCTAAAAGTGATGCTTACTTTTTGCTTAAAGCATGAAGTACATAAGGTTTTTATTTACATATAGTAGTCCGTAAGTTTTCATCAAGGTCATGGGTAAACAAACGTAGTCTTTTCTGTCCCCTCCAAAAAAGCGCGTGTATAAATAAGAAGAGCATTTTATTTTTAAAAGCTAATCTCTAGAAATTGATATTGTTTATATTTAAAAAAGAAATTATCTTTAACCTTTATAACCAATAGTTTAAGAAACATTTTTATTAGGGTTTTTAGTTTCAGTAATTTTATTTGTTGTGCAGTAAATAATTAATTAATTAATTAAGTAATTAAATTAAATAAAAACTAAATTCATAGAAGGACTGTAAAAAATGGGCCGGAAAATTGATAGTGTTAATTGAGTGCAATTAAGAATTATTTAATTATTTCCTTTTTGAATTTCCATATCCTAATTGTAAAAATGAAAAAAAAAATTTTTTAAATGTTTATCACTTGAAAATAGCATTAATTAAACTTAATATTTTTCTTTATTCCTCAAAACAAAATCATATCAATTGGATGAATTTTAAAATCTCAGTGTAAAATTACAACTTACAAGTAATTAAAAAAAAATAAACATTGAATGTAGATTTGGTTTTCCTATCGTAAACTAATGAAAGAAAATAATGATAATGTTTTATTAAATTATGCAAGCAGCAACTCTCAGCAAAAAATATTTTTTGTGTTTTATTGAATTATCTTTAGTAAGTTGTGGGACAAATTTTCAGATTGTTCACAATTAACAACATTGTTTGTTTTTTTTATTGAAATAATACCTTCAGAGTCTTTTCTTTATGTAACAACTGTAAAAATATGTTTACAAACACTCCCAAATTTGAAAATACAATATATCGAAATAAACCACCAATAAAACTCTCCAGTGTTTTCCAAAATAATTCTCTATTCAACATAAAATTCATATATTAATGAATAAGTACTGTAAATTTAATTTAGATTGAATAATTCCCTGATTTTTGGTAAAGTTCTAAAATCTAGGGGATAGTGAGGTTTTTTTTCTGCTTTAACTTTCATTATCGAAAATGTACATAACAGACTCCCCGGCATAACATTTCAGATTTCATTTTTTCTGGGAAATTGTTATCTGCCTCTATGTAAACATTTCTTTTCAGAATGTTCTACAATTGGGTTGTATGAATAAGCCAGCCACTTCTGTAAACCAGTGTCTTTGAAACCCATTTTATTCAGATCTTCATAACTTTTTTTTTTCCTGATTGTCATGTTTCATTGTCATGGTTAAAATTCATCTTATTGAAAAAACATCAATGTCTGAACTGCTATTTGGATCTCATGATAAGCCTACTAATAATCTCACCACCAAAATATCACACCACATCTACCTTGTTAACATTTCTACCAGAGTTCTTTCATCAATATTTTATCCAACAAAATGTGCAAAACATATTTCATTAAAATTCTAATTAAAAAAAATTGTATTCAGTAAAATTTTGTTTTTGTTTGACTCATCAAATACTTCTAAATAGCCAATTTTTCTCATTCCTATTTCCATGCTTAGGGAAGATCTTGTATCAATTCTCTGTCATCTATTTGCCTTTGTATCACTTGTTAGTTTCTTCTACTGAATCTGATTAAAGGACTTTTCTGCACTACCTGATACAGAGATTGAACTCAGGAAAACAGATATGTTTCAATATTTTAATCTATTATTAGGCCATGTGAATAGGAAGACACCTAATGATAATTCCTCATCTCAATCATTTTCACACAATGAAGCAGTTTTTTTTGTAGATTTTTTAAAAGTTATTGGGCATGCATTTGATTTCTAAATTCTGATTTACTTTTCATATCTTGATTTTGTCTGCTTTTAACCAATTTCTACTGTTGAATGGTTGCTGTGACATGTTTTGACAAACTGTTTGTAGCAAGTTCAACATTGGCAACTATATCTCACACATAAGGACAATTATCTGCTGCACAAAATATTTTTTCATTGGCTGCATGCATTCTTTGTATGTTATTGTCAATGAACTTTTCACAATTAAGTGCTATACAAAAAAGAAATTTATTTGAAATAAATTTCATTTGATTAAACAAGTTTTGATAACTACACAAAAAATGAGTTCTTTCTATAACATATTCATTAAGAAACTTTATAGGATAACAATCAGTAAACAATAAGTTAAATGCTTTTATAACAATCCTCAGTTATATGAATGACAATGTAATCACTAACATTACTGTTTCCTGGTTGGAACAAGCACTTTTTTTTGTTCTAGAAGAAAGGGAAGTGAAAACAATTCTTTTTAATTGATTGAAGGTTACTTATAAACTTTTATTTATTTATAAGCTTTTATTTACTTATAAGCTTTTATTTTTTTTAAAGACCAAACAAATGATTTGGTTTGTCAAAACTGAGCCTACTGCTGTGGACCATGTGTGCTAATGAAGAGAGACAAAGATGGAGAAAGAGCATCAAATTATTTTTGTTTATGCTTTTTTAATCACTTCTATTAAAATATTAATTAAAACATTCAGAAAAAAGAATATATTTTTTATTTTATGCTAAAATATTGAAAGTTAAATTTTAAATTCTTCAATTTTTTTGAAACTGCAGTTTTTACAAATTTAGTTTAATAGGTTGGTTTATAAATCACAAAAATCCACTTCGAACTGCAGATGGAAATGAAATCTGAGAACTAATGACAGATCAACAAGCAGATTTGAAATCCACCAAAGTGTAGAATGCTCAATTAGAAAGGTACAATTTGTTCTTATAAGTTTTATTAACTTTGTAAAGATTTATTTATTTATAGAATGTTGCATTTTATTTATCATACTTATTATAAAACCCAGGTTGTGTGTGTATGTGTGTCTGTTTATTTATATATGGGATCGGATTTCCTACATTTTTCAACCGATTTCAACAAAACTTCACTTTTTTTTTGGCAGGTAGTGTTTCTTATTGTCTTGCACACTTTTTTCTTTATTTTTACATTCAGAATGCTTTAAAAATTCCATTTACAAGACAATTGTTTATAATAAAATTCTATTCAATCGGTAGACTCATAATGATTGAAAACAATGTTTTTGTTTGAGTTTGGGTTTGACCAATTCGTAAAAAAAAACAAAAAAAAACTAATTAAGACATGTATGTCCGTCAACCTTAAACAATAATCTTTGCCAATTTTATTTTTCAGTCTTTATGATGGTTGATACTTGATCTATCTCTTACTGTTACATCCCCAGGCAACGCCAGGCTCTACTGCTAGTTTTTTAATAACTCTTCTTTTATTGTTAACAGATCTCATCATGGCTTGCTTGCATAAAATTGTGTCCTGCAGCAATTTAAATTTTCATTGTCTTTTGTTGAGGAATACTTGTTCCATTCAGAGAGCTTTGAGCACAAAAGCAGTTGCTTCTCAGCAGAAGGCAATGTTGGATCGGATTATACGTGTTGACCATGCTGGAGAGCTGGGAGCTGATAGGATCTATGCTGGCCAGTATGCAATACTGAAAAGGACAACTGATGGACCTCTCATAAAGGTAAGTCTTTTACCTATAAAAGTCTCTTGGAATTTTAATTAGATTAATGTATTGGCCTGCACCTTGATTTTAAACCATATTTCAAATGTTATTTGGAGAAATGCTTTCTTTTTCTTCCTAATGTTTTTGGTTTTTAGAAGCAAATTTTGCTATTGCTATAAACATTATTTTTAGTGGATATATGTGTTTGAATTGCTTTTTTAAACTTTTATTAAGCAGTGAAATTAATAACAACTGGCCTAAATTGAGATTTTCTTACTAAAGAAAATCATGACTTCAACAGGAAACAAAACTGCATTTTTTTCCATCAGGAAAACCACTTTTTGAGCCAAAGTGTGCCACAACCAGTTTTGCCACAGAGATCAGCCTGACTTGGAATTACCTATTAAAGAAAGCCAACCTTGTCCTGTCAGGCTGGTCTTTATGGCTGAAAAAAAGTTTATTCTATCTCTTTTTTTTTTTTTTTTTACAATAATGTTCAGACTGTACAAGGCCCAAGTAGTAGATAATTATTGAATAAAAGATAAGAAAGAGAGTGATAATATAAACTTTGTTTTACTATAAAGTGAACAAATTTGGCTCCAAAATCTACTTCACCAGACCTCTCTCCAAATATGTATTTTTTAAACGTCTCTACAATTTCCTGTAAGGATAGTCTTCAATAAACAATCAGTTGTGAAAATGCCTCTGAAGAATTCATAACTTCCAAGATTCCAGTATACTATGATAATGGAATAAATAGACTTGTATATTATCCACAAAAATTCATAATGTTTAATGATTCTTATTTTGATTAATAAAATTGTTTTCCAATATGCTGCTTTAAATTGGATAGTAAAAAACTGCAATTATTCTTATAGCTAGTTTAGCATGCATGTGCGTGTGTGTTTGTGTGTGCGTTAAAAGATAAATAGATATATTAAGAGGTAATATATAAATAATGTAGATCCAAAATTTCAGATGTGTCTTTATGCATGTAACTATTAGAAGATAAATATATTTATAAATAATATGTAAAGAATATAAGCACAAGTGCCTGAATTTTAGAGGTTGATTTAGAGGTTCATAATTATTTTTTTGTTTGTTTCTTCCAGGAAATGTGGGAGGAAGAGAAACTACATAGAGAAACATTTGAGAAATTAATGATTCAATACAGAAGTCGTCCAACTGCACTTCTTCCAATTTGGAATGTTGCTGGTTTTATTTTAGGTATGCAGAATTATTACTGCTTTCTTGGAAGATGGCTTTTTTTTTTGCCTGCCATTTGAGGCCAATACATTCACTGCAGGATTTACAATTTATGTTTGGGAACCTTGTGGCATGTCGTGTACCAGATCTCTGTATTCAGCTCTTCAAAAAGTCTGGTTGGTTCTGTATAAAGCCTTTACCACTATAATCAAATCATAACTGTAGGTGTCTAGCTGTCAGTTCCTAGGAACTGAGTTGCTTCACCCTCATAATGTCAAAAAACGACGGGAGAGTCCAGCACATACATATATATATATATATATATATATATATATATATATATATAATGAGTGATTTTTTTTTCCCATTGATAATCCTACCATTAGTGGTAAAACAGGATTATTATGTGCATAATGTAAATACATTGTTACTGTTTTACTGTAGAAATGAACTGGAAATAATTTTAGTACAGAAATGCATTGAAAATCAGGAAGAAAGCAATTGTCAGATGTCAGGATCTAATGCAACCTCTTGATGTTGCATGTCCCCAGATGCTAAGGGACTTCATTTTCTCTTTTTATTTTTTTTTGTATATATAACTTGCTTGTATGTTTTTTGATGTTAATAATTTAAAGTTTCATTATATTTTTTGTTAGTAAAACTTCTGAAAAAGTGTATCTACTAAGGAGCAGTAGTTAGCAAGCAGGTCTTCTTGTGTGACTAAGTGCTTTATTATCTGAACTTTTATGTAGCATCTTCTGCATACATATGACTTTTTTTTTCATAGGTGCTGGTAGTGCTTTAATAGGAAAAGAGGCTGCAATGGCATGCACTGTCGCTGTTGAAGATGTCATTGGAGATCATTACAACTCGTGAGTATTCAGTCTTCTATGAGAATCAGCTGAAAAGTTCATAAGCTTGTAGGAATCCTTCTACTCGGTTTTTCGTTGAATGTTAAAATTTGGAGTGTCGGGATTTGATACATTAACAAAATATTGTTACAGGGTCGCTCGTAATTTCACTGTCTAGAATAATCACACGATTTTCATTGAAGGAATAAAATTCAGTAGAAAAGACAACGTAGTTTCAACAAATAAACATTAATATAACGACAAGAATACAAGCAGTTGATGATAGATTGGAAAGTAATGTCTTTTTGTTTGGGTTGATAAAGTTCTGAAATAAAATATAAACTGTCTTTGTGTACGTATGTGAGAAACAATACAATGTTGTGATATGTGGGTTTGTATGAAAAAGTCAACATGTGTGTGCATGATTCATAGTAAAAGCGGATACGAGAGATAGGAATTGTTTTTTACTGTTGGCAGTGTTGCCGTAGTCTGAAGTTTGTCAACGCTGTCACTTTTAGCATGAGGTTGTGAAGATCATAAGCGAGAGTTGCATGGAGTTTGGTGACAGCCGTGTGTTTGGGAATGGATTTCGTATGTTTTTATACATTTTTTCATAACAAAATCGTATCCAGAATTAAATTATTTATTTATTCCTAATTGGCCCTAAAAGGGCACGTGGTATGTCTTCTACTATGTCCGTACAATATTTGGTCGGTATCTACCTAAAAATAATGATGATTAATACAACAAACATTCTGATCTGTATTCCATGATTTTATTGGTGTGTTTTAAGATGTAAGTGTTTTCTTGAGTGTGATTGGTTTATAAATATTGTATTTGATATTTTAGTGGACATGACAAGCTCACTAAGATACTCCCATACATTCTTTGTTCAGAAACACAGATAATTCATAAAAATGGTATTAGAAACTGCTTGGCTCAACCCACTTCTCAATTTCTGACCAACTGATCAAACATCAAAAAAATTTTTTGTATTCCTTGGTTGGATAAAGAAATTTTCAACATCCTCCCATATTGGTATTTCTTGAAACTGAATACAAATTAAGGAACTCATTTATACAGGAACAAAGTTATTGATTAATATGTTCACCAATAAAAGACATTAATTAATGTTTCCCTTTTTCAAAATCCTGTCTCTACTTCATTTTGTTCATTGTGATTAAATGACCTGCTTTATAGTGATGCATTTTAGTCTCTGAGAAATTTGCATTCTATTATTTTCTGAGTCTATACATGTTTGTGTTCATTTCTACACAATAGCAATATATAACTGCCAAGATTTTTATGGCTTCTGATTCCCAGTTTGATGTAAATGTTTATGGCCTATTTTCTGACCAGAGAGAACAAGAAGAGGTGACTAAGAAGAGTAATGATCTGCATTTTTATACTAATGAGAGGTCAGATGGAGATTGTTATATTAATAAGAATACCAAATATCTTAGTTATTCCATTTGGTGGTAGCAGTGCACAGAGAGGTAGAGGTTAAAATAGGGCTAATTTAGCAGTTCAGAGAACTTATATTGTTGGGTTGGGTGGCGATACAGCAGATAGTGCTACCCAGGGTCTACAATTCAAAAATCACATTGAAAAAGTAAATGATTTTTTTCCAGAATTTTTAAAATTTGTCAAAAAATGTTAAACACTGAAGGGGAAATTAGTGAAACAAACATTGGTATTGAAGGTGTCCATCTGTCCTGAAATATAGGCCCGTCTTAAGTTTAGCTTGTTGGTATCAGCTAAAAGGTTGCTGTGCCAACTTTTTTAGATTATAGATTCTTTCTTTGTATTTTTCTTGTAGCAATACTGGTTGGTTTTTCTAGGATATGATCAATGATACCCTTTTTTTTTCCTTTTTTTTTTTGAAAGAGGAAAAAAGGGTGGAATTCAATATAATCAATAAATAGAAGCAAGAGGGATGGGAAAGAAAAATTCATATAATTTGAAAAATAGCCAATGATTTAAGTTATAAATTAATTAACATAATCTGCATTATTGTTGACTCTACAGGATGATAGAATTTCTAAAATGTCAAGCTTACTATGTTAAAATTTTCTATTCATTTTTTTTTCTGTTAGTGAATAACTCACTTTTGTCAGTTGTGTCAAAAAAATGCAGTTCATTCTAAGAAGGATTCTAAGATGTTATTTATTTTGTCAACACAACATTTTTGTTAGTCCATTCTACAGTCTTCTTCACCTATATGATTTTGAAAGAAAGTCATGTGAATCTTTTATATTTGGGGATTGGAAATAAACAGAAAAGAAATAATGCTTACTTTAGCAACCAGTGTAACTCATTCTCAGCAGCATGAGCCACACATTACCATTCTCAGTGATAAAGCCACTAAGATAAAATGTTTTCTCAGTTAAAGTGAAAGAAACTGAGAAAACCTTATTGGGGAGAGAGAGAGGACAATAAAAGATTAGGATTTAATGAGACTTAAGATGGCAATGCTGCATTTAAAATTTTTGAAGATTGTAGTTGATAGAAAAGCCAAAATCTAGAAGAGAAGTGTAAGAGAAGAAACTATTAGCATAGAACATATGGTTATATCTAGCAATTTCAACAGTAAAATAATGAGACCTAGCTGCCAATGTTATGGGGGGTGGGGAGTAACTGAAGCCAAGATGCCAGTTCAGAACCATATCTTCTTTTGGATTTTGTCAAGAACATTTATAGACATAACAGAAGTACCAGACCAGATATGGCAGCAATACTCAATGCACAGACAAATGGTAGACTCATAAATGTGCAAGATTCTGGTGACAAAAAGTGTCCAGCACAGCACAGTGAACCAATTTTCCTAGCAGCAGACTTAGTAATTGATTTAATATAATTATTCTACTTCATATCAGTGGAAAACATTATGCTGATAAGGCACAATGGGTTACTCTCTTGGAGGTTTGATCTGAGGTGGAAGCTGGTTGGGGTAAAGAAACAAATTAGACACTGGTTTGCAGAAATGACCAAAGATTTATTTTTATTTACATGATATTAAAATGTCACTGCTAAGTTATATAGCATAACATTCAAATGTATGGTGTACAAGGTGTGAAATGAATGCATGAAAAAGGAGTATACTTAAACTGGCTGATTGTTAGCTATTGTTTTGGGCTTGTCATGTTGATAGTAGAGTCTGTTCTCTTTCTGTGTTCACAAGAGGTTGTTTTCACAGCCTAATGGTTTGAAGGGGAGTCAGCCATACTCTTGAATAGTCACTTTGGTTACAGTGTGTGTGTGTATGTGTGAAGTCTCTGTCTCTCTGCTATCTCTCCACGGTTCAGCTTCTCTTATAGCTTATATAAGGGAAACACACAGACATAGTTGTAGACATCTGTGGCAAGCAAGAGTAAATGCCAACAAGCACTCTGGTATATTTGTGTTTTTTATTTAAATTTATTTTTGAGTAGAGTGTGGTGGGTGTGTGATTTAGCCAGACAAAACTTGGTATATAGTTAGAGATTTATATTTTCTAATAATTGTATAAATTTGGCTTTAATTTGTTATCTCTGTGTGTAAATTGTGTTTTTCTGCTACCGGTTAACATCAGCTATTCTGATGAAAGAAAAGAGGGTTCTTTAAGACTGTTAAAAAAGAGCAGTTTAGGAGGTATTAAAATTAATAAGGCATTTCTTGCCCCAGTTAACAACAGATTGAAGGTCATTTTCAAGATCAGCTGCCAATTTGACTTTAATTGAACTTATCAATTGAATCTATCAGATTTACCATTAAGACAAGAGTGTAGATACCAAGATGATAACTGATGACATTGATAAAAATTAAGAATAAAGTAGGTTGGAGTTGATTACAACTTCTAGGCTGTCACCAAAAAGTGGTAGAAAGCTAATAGGTTGATAGTTTGAAGGATCAAATGGTTTATCAAAATTCTTAACTACAACAGAGGATTTCCAAAAAGTTGCAAAGCAAGACACAGCAAGGTGTTTATTGTAGAGTTTAGAGAGAACAGGAGCATATTTTGTAGGACAATTGCAGGGATACCATCGAGCCTGTTGCATGCTTAGTGGGGATCAAGTTTAGAGATGGTAGCAAAAACCATGGACTGAGTTACATTGCATATCACACAGTAGAGGCTCTCAGTTCTAAGTGGAAAATCAGGCAAAGATACTTCAGATGAGTAAAGAGTAGAATTGGAAGAGAATTTATGAGCAAAGCATCCTACTTTATCAGCAGAAAATGATAACACTTCAAAATGAGTGAAGAGAGGAAGATTGAAGACTTACCATTATTTAACACACTATTACAAAGCTGCCATGTAGTCACAAGAACCAAAGCTTGTAAGAGGCTATACAGTGTCTGATCAAAGATTTCACCTCATTGAAGACCTGTTTGCAATTATTATAGGTGGTTATAAAGAGATGTCCTGTTGTGATCGGAACTATCATATTGGTGTAGCCTAAAAAAGTGGTTCCTGTGGGCTATAGCTACTGAATAAACAGGTGTGAACCAAGGAAAGGATTATGGTTTCACCTGGTACTTCCTATTTAAATGTTCACTAATTCCTTTGTAGTATGTAAAAATGACAAAAATAAAAGCAACAAAAATAAAAAAATAATGAAATAAAAAAATGACAAAAATAAAAGCAACAAAAATAAAATAAAAAGAAATTATAAACAAAAATTAATAATGAAATATTTTAAGTAAAGAAATGTGAACAAATTAAAAGATTAATCTTTGTTTAATGGATTAATTTACATTTTGAGGCGAATAAAGAAAACAGCAACCAGCGAGTAAATTCAAGCTCTCCCAGCTGGTATTTCAACCTTGAGTCGTTCCTTCTTGAGTTCTGTCTCAAAATCACACTAACAGACTGTTCTTGCCGCCAACCGTGAACGTCACTAGAAGAACTGCCCCACTGGGAAAAAAGTAGTTGCTTTTATATTTGTCCAGATACCCATAATCCCTTGCGTCTTCACGTGATCCCATAATTCATTGTGTCCATGTCCCATAATGCATTGCATCTTTATTGCATAAAAATGCAATGCAAGTCCCCCCTCATTCTTTTACGTTATCTGGCCGAGGACGGATTATGGCAGAGCGGTAAGTGCTTTTTTCCCCCTCATTTCAACTGCAGTAGCTTTACATGCTAAGCAAAGACGGGCTCTTTTTTGGCGGGGACAAGGCAAGTCGCGACCAGTTTTGCTTGTCCCAGTTTCTGTCTCATGTCCGCCACACTCCCCCCTGATCACACAGATGACAGTGCAGATACAGTCTTTTGTTCCGGGTGCTCCTCCGAAGGGGGATTGGTTGAACTTCTTCATCAGAGAAGCTATCATTAGACACATCCCGATCTATTGGCAAACTACCGCTATCGGAGTGATTGGTTGTTGAATCCAACTCTATGTATATTGGCTGTTCACTATCCTCCGTGTCTTCTTTGTCAGTTGTGGGATTTGAGCCTAAAAAAGTGCGCAGGTCTCTAACATGACGAGGCGTTACATCGACCCGCACTGACTGCTGACTCACCACCTCGGTCACACATCCGGTTCCAAATTTGGTCATGCATTTACCATGTGGAGTCTTAACCCAGACAATGTCCCCTTTCTTGTATTCCCCTTCGGTTATTTGTGATTCAGGCGGGGGCGCCGCGTCGATGCCTCTCACCCTGACGTAGTATGTGTGCAGTACATCAGCCGGGGCTGTGGAAGGTGAAACGTTGTCCTTAGGTGTGATGTTATGCCAGTAAACCGCTTCCAAGACTGAACAATTTTTCCTGGCTGCTATGGTTTTGACGCTTCTGTGGTTGCGTTCTACAATGCCATTTCCAGCTGACGAATGACACCAGCAGAGTCTTGCCGTCTCAGTGGCCACCATACAACAAAATGGGAGGGACCACAGTCAATGAGCGTAAGAAAATGGCTACCATTGTAATGGGTCACGTCCATTGCTAATCTGCTCCAGTTTCTTCTCACACTCAAATTTCCTTTTTTCCAATGCACTGGTGCTGGATCGATCGATTGGCAGGCTTCACAGGTTCTAACAACAGATTTTATCAGTTCCTTAGACACTGTTGGATCTATGGTCCTAGCAAAGTACATTGTTCTTTTAACACCTGGGTGCCCACTCTGCTGGTGGATGTGAGTCACCTGACGTTTGTTCAACTGGCTCGTTGCAGTGGCACAACTCACTTGCACCAGTTCTCCTCCTTTCTTGTGCATCTCCAACCAGCATTGCGGCACTCTGGTGAGGCTGTCAACACGGTTCTGACAAGATTTTACCAACGTCACAGTGATAGTCAGTGCGTACTCCTCCACCAAAGCTCGCAGTGTCTCTAAGCGCTGCCTCATCAGCATTTCACCCGCCGCCTTCGTGTTCACGCGCGTCTTTCCTGTCAGGGTGTCAGACACCCACCAATGCACACATGCTGAATCGGTGACCACATGCATAACTGGTGCCTGCCACTGCAGGGCAAGATTCACGCCCTTGATCACCGCATCAAGCTCAGCAAGATTAATGTGTTTGGCATCATTGGTTGGACGCGAGCAGCAAGCATCTTCCACGACGCTCCCATTCACCTCTAGTGCTACTCCCGTAGCCACAGAGCTTGCATCCACCCAAACTGTCATTTCATTGCCGTTCACACACCAGTCTCCACCGACAAGATCTGATTCCCGCACTCTGACCACTGTTTCCTCCAGCATATGTCCAAGAGGGGCATCCTTTATCTCGTCGTCCCATCCTTTGGTTAGTGTACTTGCATATCGCTTAATAAATGCAGTTGCCACCCTAAGCCAACTGCACACAGGGAAATGACCCACGAGTTTCCCGCACAAGGAAAATACGCTTCGGCGGGTCATCATTTGAGCAATTTCTGGAACCTGACCTCTTTGCTTCCATCGAAGGGAGTTGCTTTCTTCCCAGACTTGCAGACCCAGGACCTTAGTTCCGTCTCTCAATCGCTCCGGATCTTTACAGACTAGCCCATAATCTGCAAAGTGCTGTCTTACGTGCGCTGCAGAAACTAGGCCTTCATTTATGAAGATATTGTTGACGTATGCCGACGTGGCACTCTTAATGTCCTGATCCTGGGACGTTATCGTGTCGATCACTGACTTCATGACAAGTGGTGCCACATTCAGGCCAAAATCCAAACACGTAAGGCAAAACCGCTTACCCTTAATGACCACTGTTTGAAATGGCCATAGCGATTTGTCAATGTGAATCTGTAGGTATGCATTTCTCAAATCCAACAGCGATACGTCAGCTCCTTGTTGTCGCCATTCTCGTAATTTCTGCACACACACTTCTGCGTCAGCCATGAATGTGTCTACAAAGCCGTTCAACTCCCAATAGTCAAGTACCGGCCGGACCTTGTATTTGTGTTCTTGTACGACCGCCATTAAGGGAATTAATCCCTTGGGTGGGCCAAGCTCTTTCTTGGGATATGGCAGTAGCCATCCGTCTCACTGCCACCGTGCTAGTTCTTCATCGTATGCATCCCGGACGTGGCCAGGTACTGTGTACTCCTGTACTTTATTGACCAACTTGCTAGGTGAATGACCACTCGCCTACTTCCACAATGCAGTCCACGTTTTCGTGCTCGGGTTAAACGTCATTCTAAAGTCAGGCTTGTTGATAAGAATGACGGCACATGTGTTCAGGTTTCCGAAACGCGCTTCACCTGATTTGGTCAAGTGAACACCTCCGAGCACTTTGATTGCATCAATCACGAGAAGAAGATCGAATCCTAGCAACTGCCCTTCCACGACCAGAACCTCAACAGTCACGGGCTAAATCTGCTCGACGCCCAACTTAATTTTACCGTATCCACGGCACTTCAGGGTCTTCCCGTCGGCAGTTAACACTCCCACCTCTTCCTTCTTCCAGCAGCGACACACAGCCTTGCTCACCAGCGTCTGTGAGCATCCCGAATCCACTAGAGCTGTGCACTCTACTCCATTTAAAAATACTTGTACGGTGGTCAACTTCCGGGCTTTTACTTGCTGGGGAGAAGGCTGGCGCTGACGCCTTCTCCCCTGGCGTTTCCCTGGCATTCTGAGGAAATGTGTCCAATGCCATTGCATCGAAAACACCGCTTGTCGCGCCAGACCTCTGCTCTGTTTGACCTCTCCTGACGTCCTTGTGTACAATTCTTTGCCATATGGTTGGGTCCAGAGCACTTGTAGCAGGTAATCGTTCTGCTAACAGGTTTGGCAGGGGAACCTCAGCTTCTAAGCGCCGGTAGCTTCACGGATGCGCGCCAATACCTGGCACCCTTCGTCATCCGTCATAATAGCCCTTGCTCGGTCAGAATCTGTTCTAGATTCATGTCGTCCATCCTGGATGAAGCTTTGAGAAGCTGCCTAACATGATGTGGCAGCCCTGACACAAATGCACATGCCATCCACCGATCAGGTAGCGGTTCTCCTATTAGCCGCGCCAAATGATACATTTCAGCCAGGAATTCATCCACCGTTTCTCCTGGGCGAAGACGCCGTCCCATAAATTGGTCGAACGCATTAAATCTGTCAGTCGCGTATGCAGTCATAAGGGCCCGTTTAATTTGTTCCGCATCTGCTCTCCACTGAGTTGTCTCTATACAGCAAGGGCACCGCCTCGAACTCGTAGAGGCAAGATGCACTCGATCTTGTCCATGGCACAAAGTTCACAAACCAATTCCACATTTTCTATCCATTCAACAATGGACATATCCGTTGGGGCGCCGCTGAATTCTGGAATCAAACGGACGTCAAAATCCTTGCCTTCCATTTTGAAGAATCAATATGCCGAAATAGCTTGAGGCGAATAAATGAAAACAGCAACCAGCGAGTAAATTCAAGCTCTCCCAGCTGGTATTTCAACCTTAAGTCGTTCCTTCTTGAGTTCTGTCTCAAAATCACACTCACAGACTGTTCTTGCCACCAACCGTGAACGCCACTAGAAGAACTGCCCCACTGGGAAAAAAGTAGTTGCTTTTATATTTGTCCAGATACCCATAATCCCTTGCGCCTTCACGTGATCCCATAATTCATTGCGTCCCATAAACCCATAATGCATTGCATCTTTATTGCATAAAATGCAATGCAAGTCCCCCTCATTCTTTTATGTTATCTGGCCGAGGACGGATTACGGCAGAGCGGTAAGTGCTTTTTTCCCCTCATTTCAACTGCAGTAGCTTTACATGCTAAGCAAATACAGGCTCTTTTTTTTGGGGGAATAGGCAAGTCACGACCAGTTGTGCTCGTCCCAGGTTCTGTCTCATGTCTGCCACACATTTTCAATGGTAAATGTTTTAACTTTCTCCTATACATATAATAGTCCTACACATGCATTCATTCCTAACTCTTGACAATTCCTTTCTTCCTGATTTCAAATGCATTTCTCATGTAAAATCAAGAGAAATATGTTTTCATAATACATATAACATCCCTATTTTGTCAGTAATATCTGCCTTAATTTTAAACCACTGAAAACTACTTTAGTGTTTTATTAGTATGGCTTTGTACAAGACTAAATAAATTAAATATTAAAAAGCTTCTGTAAAGTAAAAATAAAAAAACATTTTTGCAAATTCTGTCATGTGTGACTAGCTTTTAAATTTAACATTTTTTTTTAAATTACCTAAAGACAAATTCGAGAACTATTTGAAGATGATCCAGAAAAGCATGAAGAACTTCTAAAGGTAACCTTACAATGTTTTTTTGTTTTTCTTTTGTCGCTACTTAATTGGACATTCAACCATCTAGCTACTCAATATTTGTTATCAGAAATAAAACACATTCAATATAAAACAATAAGGGGAAGTAAAAGTTTCCAGGAATTTTTAGAAAAATTTTTAGCTATAAAAATTCTTGGCATCATGATTCACTCATCAAAGTATCTTCCTTGAATTTCTATGACCTTGTGCTACCTTTCAGCTAAGAATGATTCCAATTTTGATTTGATGAATTCTTTGATATCCTGAATTTATTGGAACTGCTGACCAGATAAGTGTTTTGTGGAAGTGATAGTCTGAGCAGGGGGTGGCCAGACTTGTAAGAGCGAGACATATGATAAAGTTCAGGTGTTTGAAAGCCACAAAACATGAACAAAATTTACACATAGGTTTTTGTTACATACACATTTTGTTACAAAATTTTAATGCAAATATTAAGAAATGCATGTATGCAATAATATTCATGTATGCAATTTTTTAAACTGTTAATTTGTATTGGTTTTAGAAATCACAAAGTATATATATATATATATATATATACCTACACATATACACACACATACCAAATGTTTTCAAAATCTTGACTGATGATTGTTTTAATTGAGCGTATTTAATACAGTAATGAACAATGGGAACTTCTAAGAAAAATGTGAAAATTTGCATTTCAGTAACATAAAATTAGACTGCTAAAAATAGCACTAAAATGGAAAAAAATTACATTTTTAATATTTATATGTCTTAATAAATATCTGATCAAAACTTGAAGGAAAATATATAAAAAAGAAAAAAAAAGCAAACCAATATAATTAGAGGTATTTTAATCAGATATCACCTTACAAAATTCTTTTCACCACATTTTCAGTTGTAGGATACACATGACATGCTGTCACTTGGTTTGACAAGGTAATTTTCCGTTTTCTTTGTTTATACTCCCCCCTGATCTCATTATCACAAATCAGACAGCTTGGAGCGTCTCTCTTTACCCTGGTGCTTTGTCATAATGGAACTATCTCCCTTACATATGTTGGAGAGTCGTCCTCTGAGGAGTCATCAGGTGTATCTTGAGTTTATGGAATCTCCACATCTGTGGAAGTATTAGATTCACAAATCTCAATTATCTGATCACTTTCAGATGATGAATCATCGTCAGATTCGCATGTCGATGTATCAGAGTCAAAGAAAAGGTGAAGATCTTTTACATGCTGAGGCATCCTGTCAACTATTATTGCTTGTGGACTTATAATGTCCATTACGCAACCCACTTGATACCTGGAGGTACACTGGCCATGGGGAGCTTTCACCCACACTCTGTTCCCAACTTTGTATATACAGTGATTCTTACAACAATCAGATAGTAACATTGTAGTAATTCCCTTCACTTTCAGTTGGTAATGGTGAATCATATTGGCAGGTGCATTAGCAGACGATATGTCATCCTTCAACGTGATATTATACCAGTACACTGCCTCTATTATTGAACACTGCTCTCTTGCTGCAATTCTCTTTATGCTCTGATGTGATCTTTCCACTATACTGCAGTTGGACTCCCCAGTCATCCAAGAAATCTTTAAAGGACTTACTCCGAAATGCAGTGTCAGTTAGGATTTCTGATGGTGGACCTCGTTAAAAAAAAATACTTTCCAACTGTCGGATGACACTTCTTGAGTCTTGCTGAAGCAGGTGTCACCATATAGCAAGTCGACTGGGGCTGCAATCAATCAACGTAAGGTAGTGCTGCCCACCGTAATGCATAATATCCATTCCCAAGCGGACCCAGATTCCAGTCACACTTAGGTTGCCACATGGCCAATGACTTGAGGCTGGGTCAATTGACTAGCATTCTTTACATTTTCTGACCACTGCCTTGATGGCCACCTTGGATGTCATAGGGTAAACTCCTCTCACAAAATACAGCATCTGCCTGACTCTAGTATGTCCACTTTGGCAATGTATGGCACTCATCAGATCCGGAGAGATTTCGTTCTCCATGGAAGCGCATATAGGGCATGCTGGTTTGACCTCCTTCTTGATCACATCATACCATCATTGCGGTACTCTTGTGAGCTTATCTGTTCGATTCTCACTTGATGTTACTAAACTTATTGTGATCAGTAAGTTATACTCTTGGATCAGCTTTTCAAGAGTACTCAAATACCTCCAAATCAACATCTCACTTGCTGCCTTAGTACCTATTCTGGCTTTACCAGTGAGCATGTTTTATACCCACTGGTGCACACATGTGGAGTCTGTGAAGAGGTGCAGCTCCATTGCACCTCACTGTAGTGCTAAATTGACACCCTTCAGAATAGCATCCCATTCTGATAAATTGATATGTTGTGCATCCTTCACAGGCCTCAGCCAAGATGCATCCTCTACAACACTTCTGTCAACCTCCAATGAAACCCCTGTGGCGAGAGAACTTGCATTGACCCACACCTCATAAGTGTGTCTGCTTGTGCACAACTTACCATGTGCACGGTCATCCCAGCCAGACATGATCAATACTGTTCTGTGCTTAACAAATGATACAACAACACGAAGCCAACCACACACAGGAACATGACCCACCAGTTTTCCATACCACGAGAAGACATTACATTGTATCAGGACCTTAGAAACTGATGGAATGTCAATTTCATGTTTCTACTTAAGCGTGCTGTTATCCTGCTCGACATGCAAACCCAGCAAACATGTGACGTCCTGTAACCGCTCGGGATCCTTGCAGGTCAAACCAAAAGTAACCATGAGCTATTTCATGCGAGCTGCTGTAATCAAGCTCTCATCATCATAAATATCATGAGTATATGATGAGGTTGCCTGTTGAACTGACTTGTCTTTCGATAACACAGTGTCCACAATGGACTTCATTATGGCTGGTGCAACATTCAACCTGAAACCCATTTGTATCATGCAATATCTTCACCCCTTGAAGAATACAGTTTGAAAGGGCCAAAGTGACTTATGGATATGCACCCTGTAGATAGGCCTGCTGTAGGTCAAGCATAGCGACATCAGGTCCTTTTTTACGCCATTCCCTCAGTTTCTGTGTGCACACATCAGCATTGGCTGCATGTGTGTCTAGACACTCATTCAGCTCTTGATAGTCTAATACTGGCTGCACTTTATTTTTGTTTTTCTGTACCACTGCCATCAACGGAATTAAACCTTTTGGAGGACCAAGTTCCTTTTTAGGATAAGGTTGCAACCAACCGTTATCAAGCCAGATCTGCAGCTCACAGTCGTATTCCTCCTTGACCCCTGTTGGTAATTGATAGTCAGGCATCCTATTTCGCAAACCTTCCAGTGATTGACCGTCAGACTATGATGCGACCCATATCTTCTGGTTTGGGTCAAATTTGGCACAGAAATCAAGTTCTTCTATTTTAATAGTGGTGTAACAGACTATCCCACACTTGAGAAACCATACATCGCCACAACATGTTATTTGGAGTTCACCCAGCTTTTTAATGGAGTTTGAACCCAAGCAACAGGTCAAAACCCAGTAGCTCTCCATCCACTACCAAAACTTCAATGTTGAAGGGGTTTGTATTGTCCACATCAAGCTTAATACTTCCAACTCCGCAACATTTGAGGGTATTTCCAGTTATGGTGAGTATGTCCACCTTCATCTCCCGCCATGATTGATAGGCTGACTTACAAGTGTTTGTGAGCAGCCTGTGTCCACCGGTGCCACTCTCTTAATTCCATTCACTCAAACACCTAATACAGGTAGACTAGCATTGACATCTTCTCCCCTTCCTCTTTTCCTGGACACAATAAAGCAATGTGGCCTAATCCTTGACACTGGAAGCAACACATCATTGCGCATGACCTTCTTTGTTAAACTGTGCAGTCCCTGGAAATGTGATTCCACCCAGAGCATCATCGATAGTATCACATACCCTCCCAATGTTTAACATTTGGATGTTTATCAGTTCCGCCTGGTGAAATTCTAGCTGCAACCATTTCCTCAGTTGCAGTTTGATCTTTCATTATGACCCAAGCTTGGTCCAACAGTTGGTTTGTAGTCATGTCTTCCATCCTGGAAGACATGCACAGTAGTTGCTTAACTTGTGCTGATAACCCTGCTATGAATGCATATGCTAGTCCTTGCTCAGATATCCTGCCAAATAGACCTGCTAGCTTCTTCAGATTGGCTAGAAACACGTCAACTGACCCGTCCAGGTGCAGTTGGCATTCCATGAACTGCTCGTAAGCTAAGAAAGGATCTGGTTCAAAGGCAATTTGCAGAGCTCATTTATCTGCTTGACATCTGTTTTTTGCTCTGAATTTAATTAATGGTAAGCAGCAAATGCTATGCCCATCAAACTCAAGAGAAGAACATGTTCAACCTTTTTAATTCCACACAGGTCACAAACAAGTTCTACCTCCTCAATCTATTCAGTAACTGCTTGTCTGCTCACTGAACCATCAAACTCTGGTATTAACTGAAAATTGTCTGGAATACATCAGAAACAATTTTATTCTTCCCCTACTAAAGTGCGAGGTTGAGAGTTTGTAGATGATTTATTTTGTCAGTAAGGAACATCAGATCTTGCATCCATTCATCATTTTCCAGTTTAGGATAGGATCTTTTCTTTAAAAAAAGTAATAATATTCTTCAACAGATCCACAAACTTACTCAAAATATTGCTGGTTTACAGCCACCTCTCACTGCAGTAGATAGAAACATCCCTGGGTTTATTTTTAAACTCCAGTTCTTCAAGAAAATTTCTGAACAGTCGGTGAGTTTTCCCATTTAAGTGTATAAAATTGACAATTTCAAGGACAAATTTCATAACATCTTCATACTGGAAGTATGAAGATGTTATATTCATACTGGAAGTATCTGGCTGCCAGGTGAATAATGCAATGAACAGGGAGAAACTCTGGAAAGCTGGGGTCATTTTTCATAAGTACAGTTCATCCTACATTTTTTCCCACCATTACAGGTACCCCATCTTTTG